ACCTATTTGGAAGGAGTCTGACTTACTGTATTTGTTACAGACTGGGAAAACATAGCAGGCCATATTAGACAGAGAGACACACATTATTGTCCTGTTTATGTGTTTATGTACATGCACATAGATAAGTTCACAAGTCACAAATGTCACTGCCATTGCAATATCTACATACTAACTTGTTCTGTGTGTAAAATTGATCAATAAATCAAACATTACCGCAATGTAGGTTATGTACAAAAACATACTCTACCATTTACTTTTCCACAAAGCTCTAAACAAACACTAACACTGGTGTCGGATAAATGTAAACTACGATGTGATGTAAATTCAGCCTGTAGTTCTGTTTAAATGTCAATGCACTGTATACAAAGAAGTGTAAAATGGAGAAGCGTGCCCATAGATGAGGACTATAATCTGCAGAGGGCGCCAAATCCAATCGCACATCTCATGGAAAGATCTGATGAAACATGGAACTAGAGAAAGACCAGTGGTGTTTAAACTGCTGTGGATTTAGGTTCATCAAAACATTTTATAGCCCTCATAATCTAAGCATGGAAATGATTAGACCTACAGCTTGGTATAAATGTACCACTAATGAGCATTAAATTGCCTTTTCCAGCATATGGGCATTAAATAAAAAAAGGGCTACAGGCATTAAAAGTCAGTAGTGCAAACCAACATGCATAATTAACTAAGAAGTCTTTTTTTCACAATCTTTCATGTCCCCGTTTTATTATTCTGACTGCCGCCAGTTTCTGCGTGAGTCCAGATAGTCGCTGTGAGTTTGAAGAAAGGCATGTGATAAACATCAGTCTCATCACCAGTTTGACAGATTCCCAGCATACATCCTGCACAGATACCACAGCACAGGGACTAGACTGGACACGCTCTTCACACATGTGGAAGTAATACACTACAGCTAGTCAAAGTGAGTAAGAGACAACTTGATGTTGATTCTCCTTTTAATAAATTAAAACACTACACAGTACAGTTTTTCTATATTCATTTATGTAGCTCTCATGCATATTATATGGTTTATTATGCACCTCAGTGTACTGTGTGTATCATACTCTACTCCATAAGGAAGTTGTAAATTTACGGCTTTGTCATGATGAGTTCAACAGCAATAATGTCTGTAACTGAACCAGGCTGGTGATTCACGTCTTCTGTCTTTCATGTTGGTTCACATATGAGCAACACATGTCCTCTTCGACCTTCTGGAAGGCTGATTCCTTTTAAATCTATAGAATCATACATGTGGTACGGACAGAGCAATAATTTCTCATAGATGATACCAAAATAATAATGTAGTTTTCTTTTACTAGTATTAAAGACGAACAGCACACTAGTGATAATTCTAGCTGCACTTTTAAAGATTGGCATGATACTAAGACCTCTTTCCTCTATTGTTGTTGTATTTATTGTTAGTGTTATGTTGTTGTTCTTCATCACCGGTTGCAGCAAAGAAGCCACATTAAGATTTAATTTAATCAAAAACAGCCTGTCAGCATTCTTTGCACAGAATAAGCAGACTTGAGCGTTTCAATACTTGCTGAAAGGAGCGATTACATAATGATAAATGAGGAGTGATAACTCAAGTCAAATGATATTCACGTACTTCATGGAAGGAAAATAAGAAGAAAGGAAAATTCAAAATGGTTTATTAGTTTCGTTGATCTCGTTGAATTTTCAATTTAGAGTTTCAATTTAGATTTTTCTTTAGTTGCATGAATGATACACAAACTTGTAATTAAATGGCTATAAATGTTAATAATTTATTCATGGAAGTATTTAGTGGATGAAGCTATTTGAGCCTGTAATAAATATAAAGGCTCTGTGGATGTCTTCTACTATACTACTATTAGATTTATAATTCATTGCATTTTCTTCAGTAAAAACAAAAACATAAAACTG